GGGGGGGGGGGGGGGGGGACTCATTGCACCCCCTGGGTGCCATCATACTGGGCTTGTGAACCCAAGTGCCCTGCTCCCCCAGTGAACAGTGGGCAGATTTCCAGCTGGGCCATTTGGGCTCCTTGGGTTTGCAGTCAGGCTCAGTGATGCAGACACAAACATGGCTGTAGCCATCTTGCTTCTGGGGGTCATATCCTGATGAGAATGGGGACTGTGACTAAGACCCTGGAGGTGCCCCAGTTCTGGTTCTTCCTATCACGTCCCTCCATAACCTTTTTAACACTCTAAGTTAGTTGGAGAACAGTTCTGTCGCTTGCAACCAAAGATCTCTAACAGCTGGGTCCCACACTCTAGGTGTATGTGTACACAGGGGGTGTAAACCCAGCCCCATCTAAACCACATGGACTGAGACCGGAGGCTCCCCAAAGTAAACATGGGGTGCCTTTGTACATGCTAAGCGGACACCCTGACAAAACCAGTTAAAATCTTTCAGGGATTCCCTTGCCTTCTAGATGAGGCATCTTTTACATGGCTTTCAAAGCCCAGTGTAGTGCTGACTTTGGCTCCAGTTGCTCCCCTCTTTCACTTATCACACACTCATCACTCACCCCACTGCACCCACCCCAAGCCATGCTAAACCACTAGAGGCCCTAGACCATCCATCTGGCTCCTCCACCCAGGTATATCTGGCTCTGAATCCTGGAGGGTACTAACTCTGACATTTTTGTGGCCAAAGGGGCGTTGACCCCCACCTCCTCAGCAGTCCCAGCCCCACCAGGTCTAGAATCATCCCTGCCACAGTGCTGATCACACTAGGTCTTACCTGTTCCCATTTCTATCTCCCTACCAGAGAGAGCTCCAGACTGGCGGGGGCCTTGTCTACATCTGGGTCGCCAATTCCCACCATAGAGCTGGGTGGTTAGGTGACCTTAAGAAAGGCTTGTTGGGAAGTGAATTCTGGGAGTTTTCACTGCTAAGGAACTCATTGTGGCAAGAGCTTTGATGAGGTGAACTGTAGCCAACGAGTTCCCTGGGTGCGTACCAGGGAAGGGGGATTGTGGGAGGTCCCTGGTGGGAGGTTGTGACCTACCTACAGGCAGAGTGCTCCAGGGACCTACTGGTCCACCTGGCACCCACTCACCCTTGCACACCTGCTCAGGGTGGGCTTTGTCTTCTGCACAGACACTGAACTGCCCTCCCACCAAAACAGCAAATGTACCTTAGGCCCCAACCTTACACTTATGGGTAGGATCCAGCTTCATTTTCAGCTGGCTTCCTCACCATTCTGCAGCAGCCATTAACCAGCTGGAAGACCTTGGGCAAGGCCCTCTCCAGTTTCCCTCAAGAAGCAGCAGCACTCGTCCCACCTACTACCAAGAGCTGAGCCACCACCAGAGGCCCCTTCTGCTTAATCAGTGCTTAGAGCCTTCTGGCTGCCCTGGAGATAGCTATTAGCCTGGCACCCAGCACCCACTCTCCTAGGAGGCAAGAGTCCTGCCAGTGACCCAGGGGCTCAAAGAGGGGACTGGCCGCTTTTATGGATTCTCATAGCTGCCCTATGAGGTGATGGGTATCACACCCATCTTTCTAGACAAGAGAAGGGCCTATGCAAAGCTAGCTTGAAAAGCGGCCTGATGAGACTTGAACCCAGAACTGTCCAACTGCAAAGCTCATATAGCCCCTGTGGCACTAGTACCTAGCCTAGAACAAACCCTTACTGTGGTTACAGAGCATCCTTGGGGGGCTGGGGGCATTACGTATGGACTATGGTGCAGCAACAGGTTTATGAAGTCTGGGACAGACTTGTCAACAGACTCTCATCCCTGTCTTTGCATAGATGGGATGCTATGGAATGTTGCCCCAATCCCTCTGTGCCCAGGTGAATAAGTCTCCTTTAAGGCCTGGCTCAAATATTTTCAGAGAACCCTCCCTGATGCCCTCATGGCTGATCCCTACTGACCTCTGCCACAGCCTAACTCCCAGCATCACCACTGTCTCACCTCTACCCAGCCACATTTCCTGCTCCCAGGGCAGAGAGATGGCTCTAACATACCAGCCCTAGGCCGAGCACGCAACAGGTGTCCAGGTAAGACAGTGGGTAGATGTTTCTAACAGCAGCTTCCGCCTTGCTCCCCAGGCTGCTCCAAGCCCACAACTGGTGGCCAGACCACCTTGGCCTTGGAAGGGACCCTACCAGCTGAGCCTGCCTCTCTAGTACAGGTAGCGCCAGACTCACACCCTAGTGGGAACCCAAGGCTTCTTCCCTTAGGCTTCATCCCATCTAGGAAATTGAGAACCCACTGGGTATGCCCAAAGGCCACCAAGGCCTGGCTGCCTGGAGAGGCTACTCCAAGATCAGCTGGGGGTTGGGGGAGTGTGAGGGGGAGGGTTCAGGGCCTTGTTGGAAGGGCAGCTCCCACCAGGCCCACCTCTGATCCCTTCCCACTTCCAGCAGGGCAAGGGAAGCAGGAAGACCCCTGGAACACCAGGAGCAAGAAAGAGGCAGGCAGGGCAGCTGGCCAGGTTTGTGCTCGACTGTATTCACTCAGAGACACGTGGCAGCTTACATTGGACAAAATGAGTAATAAAAATTGGCTTTAAATACGGAAAAACCAGGGCCCTATAATCCCATGCTATCCTAACACTGGGACCAGGATGGCCATCACAATCTGGGAAGGACCAGAACTGGGGCCTGGGGTGCAGGTACACACCGCAGCCTACCCACTTCACACACACGCACACACTTGCACTCACACACACACCCCACACGCACACACAGGGAGGGATGGATTATTGCTGGGCACATGTGTCTATTGTTAAGAGGGGAAGTCTGGAATGTTTCAGAGTTGACTAAGGACAACCTCCCCCACTTCCCATGGCCTGGGCTGGGGCATTTCTGCAAGAGGTGTCTTCAGGACAGGGCCCAGCATGAGGGACAAGGCGCCCTGGGAGCTGGAAGGCAGAGGCAGACCCATCTGGGATAGCCTGGGCAGTGGACTGATGGGTCCCAGGGTCAGCCCAGTCTCTGGTCACACTTTGGCACAGGCCTAGGGGATACAGAGGCCCCAGTCCAGCTTTGACAAGTGCTGATGAGGGACAGCATCGGACCCCAGAGGTGATAGCCCTGAGCCCGGGGCAGCAGAGGCAGGCATGAGTTTCACTCAGAGGTCAGCGGTGGCGAGCACAGTGCTGGGGGCTCAGGGGCCTTGCCTGACCCAGCCTCGGCCTGTCCGAGCTGGG